AGATATTATATTGGGGCCAACTCTATTTGAATGCGTGGGCGTATGTTTGCACGCCACGGTCAAGTTTTTGTTTGCGCGCCACGGTCAAGTTTTTGTTTGCACGCCACGGTCAAGTTTTTGTTTGCGCGCGGCTTGAGCTAATCGCAGCTTGGCTAGACCCATAAATCTGTTGTCCAATTTCGTGGATGAATGTGAGTCATATTTTTTATACGCCCTGCATTTTAAGCCCCACCCCCCCCCTCTTTTTTTTTCCTTTCCCGCCAACAAACCAACGCATGTAAAACTGTGGGTGGTGATGTTAGTCATAGGTCAACAGCTAGGCACTAGATTTTAGAGTAGACACACATTAGCAGGCATTAACTTTTGAGTTTTTAAAAAAAATCTCATGAAATTAAGCCGTGCTTAGAGGAAGAATTTAATATCATAAACTCATCCTTATTTCGCACATTCCGTTTCATCCGTGATTCACCAGTCGACACTCATCTTCGTTCACCAATTCAAAAACATCTTTGGTTCACAAATTCAAACACATCCTTGGTTCACCAATTCCAACTCATCCTAGGTTCACCAATTCCAACTCATCCTTGGTTCACCAATTCCAACTCATCCTTGGTTCACCAATTCCAACTCATTTTGGTTCACCAATTCCAACGCTCTAATCTGTAAGTTGTATCTTCTCCTCACAGTTATAAAATTCTAGCGATGACCATCAAAACTTAGAGCCATGGTTCGAGTGATAGTGAAAAACGTCCGCATGGCCTCTCACATATCAGTTGTTCGTCCGTCGAAGATCGACTAGGACCATCGAGTCGTCCGGTGACTGATGACTTGCGCGGGTGACTTTTGTTTAAAGTGAGGAAGAGTGGCGCGGCGTCAACCTCCCTCTCTGGTCCGGGCCCACCATATCCAGTGGCAAGACTCTCCGTCAAGACGACCAGGGGTGGGTACGGTTGCAGGAATTGTCATTGTATGCGCCTTACGGGACTCCAACTCCGGGTTTGACTTCAGAGTTGCTTTTTCTTACATATAATGTTAACAACGAGCAAAAGCTGTGATCATAGGAGAAAAGAGAACGAAAGACATGCTCCATATGGGTGCCTAATTTTAAATTCATACTAGAAACATGGGATGCCGCAGGATATTTTGTGTGTGAGGGGATGTCTGTCAGTCACGCCCGAAAGACTTTTGTTGGTTTAATATAGTTGTTCGATGCTGGTTAGTAATGAAGTCATTTCTGGGGTTTTCACATGACCCCCGCCTTTTTTTTTATCACTGGTCGTGTGACCCTATATAATAATAAGTAATTTTTGTTTACATATGTATGACTGAGATATAACTTCTATTGGGTAATACCATACCTCCCACTGCTTTATAAAAAAAAAAAATGTCCTCCTTTATTTTGTAATGCGGCTGTGGTGCAATCAAGGGGGTCATATTGTGGGGGGGTGGCATGTTGGAATATTCATAAGGTCATTAACTCGCTATCGTCCTTCAGTACGTCTCGACACAGGGGCGTCCGCTATCAAGGATAGCTATCAAAGTTTGCCCCGTTTCGCCACTCGCAACCCTCTCGACAACTCTCCAAGGCTTATTCCATCGCGTCCGACTCTATATTTAGGTTTCTTTTAAAATGCTCTGCACTGAATACCCCTTGAGCAAGCCTCAACTTTGCTCAGCTCATTCGTAACCCCATCTTCCCCCATTTTCTGTGTTTTGATCAAAGCCTGCCTGGTAGTCTTCAGAGCTATTAACGTCACTTAATGAGACAATAAAATTATGTTGTAATGTGTAAATAAAAGAGTTAACCATGTTAAATGCATGGGTGAGAAGTCTGGCTGGAGGTATTTGGCCTGCGTGCGTGGTGGTGTTTGGCCTGTGTGGTGACGTTTGGTTTTAGTCATGGTGTTTGGCCTGAGTGATGGTGTTTAGTCTGAGTGTAGGTGTTTTGCTTGAGTAATGGTGTTTGGCCTGAGTGATGGTGTTTGGCCTGAGTGAAGGTGGTTGGCCTTAGTGGTGATGTTTGACCTGAGTGAAGCTTTTTTGCCTGAGCTGAGGTGTTTTGCCTAAGTGATGGTGTTTGGCCTGAGTTGAGGTCTTTGGCCTGAGAGGAGGTGGTTGGCCTCATTGATGGTGTTTGGCCTGAGGGATTGCGTTTGTCCTGAGTGGAGGTGTTTGGCCTCAGTGGTGGTGTTTGGCTTTACTGGTGGGGTTCGGCCTGAGTGATGGTGTTTGGCCTGAGTGATGATGTTTGGCCTGAGTGATGGTGTTGGCCTGGGTGGAAGTTGTTAGCCTGAGTGGTTGTGCTTGGCCTGAGTGGTTGTGTTTGGCCTGAGTGGAGGTGTTTGGCCTGAGTGGTTGTGTTTGGCCTGAGTGGAGGTGTTTGGCCTGAGTGGAGGTTTTTGGTCTGAGTGGAGGTTATTAGCTTGAGTGGAGTTGTTTGGTCTGAGTAGAGATGGTGTGCTTGAGTTGATTTTTGTTGCCTGAGTTGATGAGTGTTGTCTAAATTTAAGTGGATTGTCTGAGTAGGTCAAATTGTCTAAACAATGTGCTTGTTATGATTGGATATGAGTTGTCTGAAATTGAGGGTGTTGTCTGAATGGGGTTAATTGTCTAAATGGGGATAGTGTATCTGGAAAAGGGTTGGCTTGTCTGAATGAGGTTGGTTGTCTAGATGGTTTGGGGGGGGGTGTTCTAAATGAGGTGAGTTGTCTAAATTAAAGGTGTGTTTTGTTACTGGAGGTAGGTTTTCTTGAATAATTTTGGGTTGTCTGAAATTGAGGGTGTTGTCTGAATGGGGTTAATTGTCAAAATGGGGTTAGTGTTGTTGGAAAAGGGTTGGCTTGTCTGAATGAGGTTGGTTGTCTAGATGGTTTGGGGGGGGGGGGTGTTCTAAATGGGGTGGGTTGTCTAAAATAAGGATTGGTTTGGTTAGGGGAGGTGGGTTTTCTTGAATAAATTTAATTGTCAAAATGGGGTTAGTGTTGTTGGAAAAGGGTTGGCTTGTCTGAATGAGGTTGGTTGTCTAGATGGTTTGGGGGGGGGGGTGTTCTAAATGAGGTGAGTTGTCTAAAATAAAGATTTGTTTTGTTAGTGGAGGTAGGTTTTCTTGAATAAATTTGGGTTGTCTGAGAGGGGATTTCGTTTCTGGAGGGCTATGTGGATGGTAATGAAGACAATGACAGGAATGAACAATACAATTTAAAGTCAGAATTGTAGTTGTAGTAACTGTGGCCTACGGGTTTCAGGAATGATCAACTTTTGACTTAATTACTTGAGCTAATGTATTTCAAAGCTTATCAACGTTACGAGTTTCCTTATGATGAAATGGACTAGTATAAACTTATTGCATCCGTAGCATGCACTACCAAGTATTTAGGCTCCGCGATCAAAAGTCAAGTTTTCTTAACGTTGGGGAATCTTTTCCCGTTTTGAAACTTAAAACTTTAATAAGAGAAGTCTCTGGTATTTCAGAAGAGAAAAAAGAAAATGGCAAGCCCCCAAAATATTCAAATTATAAGAATGGTTTAACAGAGTGTGTAACATTGTTTGTTCTTGAGGCCGCCTTAAGTGATTGACGGGTCTTAGAAGGTTTCTCAGCGCGCTCTACATGCTCGCCCATTGAACTGTCAGGTATCTGGACGGGGGAGAAACGTAATGAAGAGGGGAGCCACAGGATTGGATATACAGAGTCGTCGACAGAGGCGGCGCTCTGGCTGATGAATTCGAGGACTTCAGATTCATGGAGAGGAACAGGTTTGATAACTGCTTGAGAGGTCAGGTACTTAGCGCTGAGGAAATCAAGAAACGAGAGGACGAAAAGGGGGGAGGCAGAAAACTTAAACGAAAAATTGAGCCCATTTTATTGAGTGTGAGTCTACGCCCGAAATTTTTTTTTTTTTTTTGTATGAAACTTTCATTGAAAGCGTGGGAGTGAGTGTTCATTGCGAAATGTCATCGTTTGTTGGAAATATATTTGAGTGCGAAGAATAAGGGAATTTATATTAAAATGACGTTACTTAACCACTGAACCATTTAACCACCTGATCACTTAACCATTACTTGTGCTTGCTTCCAGGGGTCCTACTAAAAGAGCTCAACAAATTACTATGACAAAATGAATAGTAAAAATGACCTAGGTGGGGAAAAAAAACCCGCTCAATGTTGAGAAAAAGCTAACAAAGCAATATGGCGTGTTTTAAAATGTACATATATATATATATATGTTAATACTGAGTACATAATGTACATATATTATATATAAATACGTGTTAATACTGAGTACATATTGTACATATATATATATATATATGTTAATATGAGTACATAATGTACATATATATATGTTAATACTGAGTATATAATGTACATTTATATATATATATATATATATATATATATATATATATATATATATTATATATATATATATATTTATATATAATATATATATATATATATATGTTAATACTGAGTACATAAGGTACATATATATACGTTAACACTGAGTACATAATTTACGTATAGATATGTTAATGAGTAAATAATGTACATATATATATATGTTAATACTGAGTACATAATGCACATATATATATTTTAATATGAGTACATAATGTACATACGCTTAAAATATATATATTTATTTACATTGTAAAGACCAAACTTCGAACAAGTCGTTTATGAAGAGCCGTCCAAAATGGGAACGATGACAAAGTTGGTCATGATCAAAGCGTCGTGGGGGGTGGGGGGTCACCTCTGTAAGACATCAGACAAATACAAGACAAACATCATACGCATTACCGAGTCTTCCATTCAACTCTCCATGTCTGTAATACGCCAGTTAGTCATTTTCAAATTGCTAGCCGACGTTAATACCGTTTTGAAAACCAATAGAGTCTTCTTGAAGCCCAACACATTTTTAACAAACATGCCACCAAGAGGAATTAAAGCTTTTCACGTCAATATATGTCAACTTAATTTATTGAAATAGATAATGGAAGTCTATGAATTCAACAGCAATGTTGTTTGTTTTTAAAAAAAAAAAATAGTTTCTCTGACTCATACAGGCGTCAGTGGATAATGCATCATCTTGTGGACCCCTTCAGATGGTGGGTAGTATGGGTCCGGCAAATGTGGGTACGGATACACTGGAACCTGTGTAATATAGGAGTACGGGGCTCCGATATAGGCTGTGTTCCAGTGCGGGTTGACCATTGGTGACGGATAACTCTTGTGAACATCTGTGGGAAAAAGGTAGAGGGGGGGGGGGCCTCAGTAAAGTTTAAGATGCAATAAAGATTAGCACAAAAAAAAAACGAATTATAATACCAAAAAAAAAAAAACTATATCAATACATATCACAATACAATGGCAAGAAAAATACAAATAGCATGGTGGGGGCGGCAAGGCTAAGCAATTTGTGAATAATGTCACATCTTACGGTCTGCACCTACGCCACCGGCTTGAGAGTGCCCTAGAAGTGGCAGCGCCTGGTGCATGTGGCAGCGCCTGGTGCATGTGGCAGTGCGTGGTGCATGTGGCAGTGCCTGGGTGCATGTGGCAGCGTCTGGTGCATGTGGCAGCGCCTGGTGCATGTGGCAGCGCCTGGTGGATTTGGCAGCGCCTGGTGCACGTGGCAGCGCCTGGTGAATGTAGCAGCGCCTGGTGCATGTGGCAGTGCGTGGTGCATGTGGCAGTGCGTGGTGCATGTGGCAGCGCCTGGTGCATGTGGCACTGCCTGGTGCACGTGGGAGCGCCTGGTCCACGTCCCCGTGATCAACGTGAAAGTTTGGCCCCTCATCATGCAAAGATAGCATTTCGTAACCCCATCGGTCTTGTTTGACAGCAAGGTGACAGCCAAAACTATTTCCACCACTGCGCTGTGAGTCATTGGCATTCATCCTGGTGGTCCTTATGCTGAATCTATCTTGAGCCCCGTCTTGTGCTGAAGATGTGATCATCCAGTGGATCCTCAGGAAAATGTGCCCAAGTCTTTGAGATTGTGGCTTTGAGTCTTTTCTCTTGACGGGCTGAGCCAACGAATGCGTCTCTCGCTAGGAGTGAATAGTTTGCTGCACATGTAGACACTTTGCTGCATATGTAGGCACATGACAGAAACCACTGCATGCCCCCCACCGATATCGTAGGTTATGACCGTTGTTTTTCTGCTTATGGCTCATGTAAGTGGCCCACTCCTCTTTAAGTTACAAGGTTCAACACGCATATCCTGTATACGTTAAGTTCGGGCTTATCTTTAAGGTTGGAGCTCTTTGGGAATATCTTGTTCAATATGGTCATAAATATTAATCCTGCCGTTCACTCACTCCTCAGCACCCAGTGGAGAAAGCTCAAAAGCTTCCAGGTTATGCACCGCGATAGCCGTAATGAGGAGGGAGACTACCGCTCGTTACAAACGCCTGAATTCGTAAGGCTGATGATGAGTCTAACCCAAGTGGTCGGTAATCAGAACAGACTAATGAGTTTGCCGACCATTGGTCTAGCCACATTACAAGTGTGACAAAAAGTCAACTAACAAAATGATAAATCGTTTTCCGTACTTGATGTTAAATGTGCAGCGTAATTGAACAGCAAGCGTTTCTAGGCCAAGAGGCTTGATGAGAAAGTCAATGCAATGAGGAGAAAGGTACGGAACAGCTTGTCACCATACTTGCGAGTTAATAAAAACTGTATTTTTACATTACACTTATCGACAAATAACAGCAAGCTAATCGACAAGTGACAGCAAGCTAACTGACAAGTGACATCAAACATATTGACAAGTGACAGCAAGCTAATGGACAAGTGTAAATCTTCCCCATAATTTTCTTGGAGACTTAAAAAGACAGTTATTGTTTTACATTAGTTAAGACAATGAATACACATCCTATCGAAATCTTACCACTGATGGTCTTCACAAAAGACATGGTTTGGGGAGCTCGACTGCGTCTCTTACACTTCAAGAGTAGGTTCACCACTAGGACGAACACAGTGATTGCCGCCATACTGGTTACGATGACGGCCACGACGATGGTGGACCTGTCAACAATGTAACAGATGAGTTCTCATAGCCCTCATGTTAAACAGTGGGCATTTCTACGAAACATATATTGGCAGTGACAGTCAGTGGATTGGCAGAGACAGTCAGTGGATTGGAGGAAACAGTCAGTGGATTCGAGGAGACAGACAATGGATTGGCATAGACAGACAATGGATTGGCACACGGCATTCTTTTTCAGTCATACTAAATAAGCATTAGCCAGATTAAATAAATGGCAATAGCACAATACAATCGTGTTTAGTACATTCAGAAGACATAGCACACCCCAGAAGCTGGCCAAATGCTTTCATCAATAAGTACATTCGGAAGATATAGTACATCCCCTAAGATGGGGAAGTGCTTTCATCAATAAGTATATTCAGAAAATATATCATATCCCATTTGCTTGCCGAGTACTTTCATCAATAAACTCATTCAGACGATACAGCACATCCGATTTGTTGGCCGAGTAGTTTCATCAATAAGTACATTGAGAAGATATAGTACATCCCATTTGTTGGCTGAGTACTTTCATCAATAAATTTATTTTATGCACCATCAAGAGTTAAAATTTAAAAACGCTTTGAGCATTTTATGTGGGTTACTGAAACACATATCAGTGTGAGTCGAATTAATTTATCGCATGACTTTGTAATGCGCAGCTCTGCAGTTTTCTTCTTTCACTTTAAGAACAGTCCATTATGTAAGAAGCCCAAATTTACTGGAAATGATTTTGTTTTCGTGGATCCTGTCAAGAAATAATTGTCTCCACGCTTACAGCAGCTCAACGGGATGCAAAATCAGGGACAGCATAAGAACTAGGTTGGAATGTCATCAGTTCAACTTATTAACACAATGATTGTGACTGCAGGAGTTAACTGTAATATTTATGTGACTTACTTAAGTAAACAATTTTTTTTCTTTTTTTTGTTGTTGCTGTTGTTTGTTTGTTTTATTTGGGAGATGTGGGTGGGGGTGTATATTTTTTACAAGCAAAAGCTTAAAAGTAAAATGTTTGATGTTTCATCGGTGGCGTAGCCAGGGTTGGTGTGAATCGGTGCGGTCCGCAACCCCCTAGCTATGCCACTGGTGTTTGTAACTCACTCTTTAAAACAGCAATACTTGAAGTCCTCAGTCCCACAGCAGCCATGGGCACATATCAACGTGTGGTTATCTGTCTTCCTGTAGCCACCAATATGGAACAGCGCCTTGGCGCACAGATCGTCAGCTTAAGAATGAAATCATTTAGAAAAAAAGTAGCTACATTCAATGGGGGCATCTCAAAATAAAGTGAAAATAGCTTCATTCAATGGGGGCATCTCAAGTCAAGGGGAAAGTAGCTACATTCAATGGGGGCATCTCAAGTCAAGGGGAAAGTAGCTACATTCAATGGGGGCATCTCAAATTAAAGTGAAAATAGCTTCATTCAATGGGGGCATCTCAAGTCAAGGGGAAAGTAGCTACATTCAATGGGGGCATCTCAAATTAAAGTGAAAATAGCTTCATTCAATGGGGGCATCTCAAGTCAAGGGGAAAGTAGCTACATTCAATGGGGGCATCTCAAATTAAAGTGAAAATAGCTTCATTCAATGGGGGCATCTCAAGTCAAGGGGAAAGTAGCTACATTCAATGGGGGCATCTCAAATTAAAGTGAAAATAGCTTCATTCAATGGGGGCATCTCAAGTCAAGGGGAAAGTAGCTACATTCAATGGGGGCATCTCAAATTAAAGTGAAAATAGCTTCATTCAATGGGGGCATCTCAAGTCAAGGGTAAAGTAGCTACATTCAATGGGGGCATCTCAAATTAAAGTGAAAATAGCTTCATTCAATGGGGGCATCTCAAGTCAATGTGAAATTAGCCACATTCAAAGGGGGCATCTCAAGTCAAGTTGAAAATAGCTTCATTCAAAGGGGGGCATCTCAAGTCAAGGTGAAATTAGCTTCATTCAATGGGGGCATCTAAAATTAAAGTGAAAATAGCTTCATTCAATGGGGGCATCTCAAGTCAAGGTGAAAATAGCTTCATTCAATGGGGGCATCTCAAATTTAAGTGAAAATAGCTACATTCAATGGGGGCATCTCAAAATAAAGTGAAAATAGCTTCATTCAATGGGGGCATCAAAAGTCAAGGTGAAAATAGCTTCATTCAATGGGGGCATCTCAAATTAAAGTGAAAATAGCTACATTCAATGGGGGCATCTCAAATTAAAGTGAAAATTATCTTAATGTGAAAGTATTTTTTAAACAATTATCCCACGAAGGCGCACCTTGACAGAATGTAGCTAGGGGCAAAGTCCCAAAAGTGCGCCCCACCCCCTCCCTCCTCCTTCACACACACAAGCTCACAATTTATATTCTGTTAAATATTAGCCCAAAATTTCCGCTTTAAGATGTAGCGCTTTCGCCCCCCCCCCCAACCTAGTTACACCACTATGATCAAGCAATTCCTTGTATTGGAAATTATAATTCAATTGATTTAATTCCATTTCATATGGAACTGGTTTAAATTTACTTTAGATTCTGTTTTAAATGAAACATATGAATAATATTTATTCTACACAATCTATTGCATTTTATTCTTTTCTCTAGCATAATTTTATCTTACTCACAATTATATGAGAATTAACTACTCATGAATCGACTACTCAAGAATTGACTGCTCAGGAATTGACTGCTCGGTAATTGACTGCTCGGGAAATGAAAAGAGAAGCTGTCTCTATGGTAAGTTTAGAGACTAGGACCTTAGACGATTATCAGTGGTCTAAACATGGGAGGTACTGTAGGCTTTCGTCGCAGTCGAAGTAGCTAAAACTACACTTCGATCAGGCCTCGGTGATCTTACATGGCGGCAGAACTGGTTAGCTCACACGAACGAGGCTCTATAACTAGTTGAGCTCTGTCCTACTTGGTGACAGAACCGGTTAGTCCGGTCTCACATGTTGACAGAACTGGTTAGCTCACTCTAACATGGCGACTGAATGGTTAGCTCACTCTAACCGGGCGCTAGATAGTAGTACCTCACTCTTACCATTTTCGCTGACGTCTTTCCCTTCCATTGCAGATGTCACGAAAAATAGATAGCAACTCCCTGGTAAGACGGCTGTGTTGGAGAAGATACTGATGTTTTCTCACCTTAAATAGACCGCAATTAAACAAATCTCATCATCTGAAGCTCAAACTATCCATGAATCCATTCATTCATTCATCCCTACATTCATTCATCCATCCATCAATCCATCCATACATTATTATATCAATCCATGCTTTCATTCATCTATCCATCCATTCATCCATCTTTTTATTCAGATTATCATCCATCAATACATCCATCCATTCATCCATTCATCCATGCATGCATCCATCCATCCATCAATAAATCCATTCATTCATCCATCCACCCATTCATCAATAAATCCGTTCATCAATCAATTTATTATTATTTATGCATATAAATAACCATGTATCCTTCTGACAATCTGTCTTTTAGTTTAGCAGTTTACTGATATAGGTGGGGGCACATAAATTAAAATTTACAAAGATGCGGATTTCTTGTGATAGGGAAAGGCTATTGACCCTCAGCCAGCTTTATTTCAGGCATCGAACCGACTCTGTTAAATCAAGTACTTAATAATAATCCAGAATCAGATGAATGAATATTTAAGAAATTTGCAGTAAAAAATGACAATTTGTATAAGTAAATGACATTTCCCAAGTTCATAGTTCACCGACTATTTACGACAGAGTAATTCCTAGGGGCGATATCTGATCCATAAAATGTTTGTTTTTTTAGTCGTATTGTTCATGTCAAAAGGGGGGGGGGGGACTTCCCATTGAAAATGGAAACAAATGACATTTGTTTTTTTAGTTGTATTGTTCATGTCAAAAAGGGGGGGGGGGGACTTCCCATTTAAAATGGAAACAAATGACATTCAAGCATAATGCTGTGTTACGATTTAATAAATATTTCTATCTATCTATATGGAAATTGTTTCATACCAAAGATATAACTGATGACTTTTGCAGACTGTCTTATTTCATAGATTGAGGTTCAGCGTATTGAAGAAAACATCGGGGGGGAGAGAAACACAACTTCTCTGTCGACGTTATTTTTGGACTCGAAATGAGTAATAAAAGTGGCAGCAGTTCATCAGAGTGCAGATGGCAAACACCTGAAGGATGAATATGTTTTTCCCTAAGAATGGTGCGTACTTGGCCAAGCACTTGGACTCTGTGGCCGAGTAGATTCACAAGGAAGGCCGCGCCTTTCTCTTACTGCATTCTGCAAAGTTTTTACTTTGCAACGCCTTCAAATACTTTGAAACAAACTCATCATAACAAAAATATGTGTGTTATCAGATATAATAAATTATGGAATAAATAGAAAAATAATCATAGCCAGTATTTGATGTATAAAAAATAATAGAAAATTTAAAAAACCCAGTAGACCTATATGTGATGTCATACAAAACATCTGACTTCAATCAACGCGACTGAAATCCCCACGTGTTAATCATTGACCAATGCGTCACCAATTTATTTCAGGACCAATATTTGATCAGCGAATCAGGGTGTCAAATGATAACACTCACACGCCGTGCGTGACTCAATGGAGGGAGTGTTATCGTGAGCACAGGTTGGACACATTCCACGTCTTTTAACGGCGTGAAATCACGTGCAAGACGGCCTACGAGTGAAGAGGTCGAGGCAGGCCACATGAGTCCACATGTTGAAGAAGATTGTGTTGTCAGCTGTTACTGCTCGTAACCCATCTCGACATCCCAAGAGTTTCGCCCCCGTGGTCCCGTCGCCCAGAACACGGCCGCCGCCCCCACACGTTAAACATGTAACGCCACAAAGCACTGAGTTCCATGAGTCTACAAATATAAACAAATGTTACAAGATGCTTTGTGCTTATTCATACTACAGAGTTCTTTTCCTTATAAAGAAGTGAGCTAAAATAGATGTGAGGTGTGAATCTAGAGGATATTAATAGTCTATTTGTGTTTTTTTTCAGAGCGTTGAAAGAAATTTTCAACCAGTAGATTTGCAAGTTCGCAGTAAATTTGCCGCACCTTCCAGTAAAGGCAATTTAAAAAAGAGAGCAACTTTTTAACAAGAAAAGATGTGTGTCTTTACAAAGATATCCTTTCTAATGTATCTTTACAGTGATATTCGTTCCACACCTGTATCCTTCCAACGATTTACTTTCCATTCATGTATCTTTACAAAGATTTCATTTTCACTCATTTATCTTTGACCAATTCATAAAAATCGACATCATTAGTTTGGCCAATTTATCAAACTCGACCAGCAGTAGTTTGATCAATTTATAAATCTCTACACCATTAGTTAGGCCAATTTATAAAACTCTACCACCAGTAGTTTGACCAATTTATAAAATTCTACCACCAGTAGTTTGACCAATTTATAAAAAATCTACCACTAGTAGTTTGACCAATTTATAAAACTCTACCACCAGTAGTTTGACCAATTTATAAAACTTTACCACCAGTAGTTTGACCAATTTATAAAACTCTACCACCAGTAGTTTGACCAATTTATAAAACTCTACCACCAGTAGTTTGACCAATTTATAAAAACTCTACCACCAGTAGTTTGATCAATTTATAAAACTCTACCACCAGTAGTTTGACCAATTTATAAAACTTTACCACCAGTAGTTTGACCAATTTATAAAACTCTACCACCAGTAGTTTGACCAATATATAAAACTCTACCACCAGTAGTTTGACCAATTTATAAAACTCTACCACCAGTAGTTTGACCAATTTATAAAACTCTACCACCAGTAGTTTGACCAATTTATAAAACTCTACCACCAGTAATTTGACCAATTTATAAAACTCTACCACCAGTAGTTTGACCAATTTATAAAACTCTACCACCAGTAGTTTGACCAATTTATAAAACTCTACCACCAGCAGTTTGACCAATTTATAAAACTTTACCACCAGTAGTTTTACCAATTTATAAAACTCTACCACCAGCAGTTTGACCAATTTATAAAACGTTACACCAGTAGTTTGACCAATTTATAAAACTCTACCACCAGTAGTTTGACCAATTTATAAAACTCTACCACCAGTAGTTTGACCAATTTATAAAACTCTACCACCAGCAGTTTGACCAATTTATAAAACTTTACACCAGTAGTTTGACCAATTTATAAAACTCTACCACCAGTAGTTTGACCAATTTATAAAACTCTACCACCAGTAGTTTGACCAATTTATAAAACTCTACCACCAGCAGTTTGACCAATTTATAAAACTTTACACCAGTAGTTTGACCAATTTATAAAACTCTACCACCAGTAGTTTGACCAATTTATAAAACTCTACCACCAGTAGTTTGACCAATTTATAAAACTCTACCACCAGTAGTTTGACCAGTAGTTTGACCCAGTTGCAGGGCGGACAGCAGCAATATTTTATGACTTGTACAGATTTCCTGTGCCGTTTTGGTGATTTAATGAGAAATGGGTCGGTTTGATTTTGCACTAGGGTTGAACTTTGCGCAAAGGTTGAACTGACTTTAGACTAAGGTTGAATCGACTTTACACTAGGGTTGAACTGCCTTTGCACGAGGGTTAAATAAATTGTTGATCATAAGTTACCAGTCTCATCTCCTTTTGTTCAAGATTTTATTTCCTTTCCTCTGTGAACAATACGGTGGAATGGATTTTTTGGCTCCTGAAAAATAAACACATTCCCCCACTTTGTCAGGACTTAGATTTAAATTCTGGTCAGTTTCACCGTCCTTTTTTTTAAACATAGCTATCACCTTATCTCTATCAGTTACAATATTGAAGGTTTCATTCTAACACTCTCCGGGCGACTCGCTCTTGAGCCGTGTCTCAAACAACCGGTGGCTGAAGAATGAATTTACAACAGCAACACCGTTCGATTATGCTTGATTCTGGCCTTTTTTTTTTGGGGGGGGGGGGGGGGTATTATTTCCTTACGCCAGTAAAACCATGGTCTCAAACAGCGCTTCCCAAACTGTGTCGCAACACATTAGTGTATCGCGCCAAAATAAACCATACTAACATTCCCGCACTTTTTAAATTTAACTTTAAACAATGCACACAAACAAAAAAGTTGTTGGTATAAATACTTTATAAAATATAAAATCGAGCATTGAAGGAAGGGGGGGGGGCAGCTGAAAAAATGCAAGTACCGCACTTAATAATAATTCCAATTAATGCTCCCTATCCCAAAAGGCTCGCAAGCGCACATTTTTTTCCACGCCCCTGAACTATATTTATATTCTAATGACCCACCCGCTTTGATACCGCAGATTTATATGGCAAAAGCAATAGAAAATATTGCGCACCAAGTGCACTTGCGAAATATATATTTTTTAATTCTCATTTAGTGCAGTCATCGGAAATTTTATTGCATGAAATAATTGTTAGCAAATTTCCTGCATCTTTGCCTGGAAAAACAGGAGCTGCTGATTTTGGGGGGTTGGGAGTGGGGCCGAACATTTGAAAACAATGTGTTGTCATCGTTTCAGCTCCATAGATTGACGGGAAGTGGGTCAATTAGCCATCCGAAGATTTTACCAGCCAGCCTCGAACAAAGGCGAAGTTAATTTAAAGGATATTAACAAGCTAGGAATTAATGACTGGTCAGTTTAAACCCTGGTACATGCTGACTGGTCAAACCGACTCTCTTTTTCTCGGGAACACCACGACCTTTCTCAGACGGAAACACCACGACATTTATCAGACGGATACACCACTACATTTATCAGACAGAAACACCATGACATTTATCAGACGGACACACCACGACATTTATCAGACGGACACACCACGACCTTTATCAGACGGGCACACCACGACATTTATCAGACGGACACACTACGACCTTTATCAGAAGGAAACACCACGACCTTTATCTTTCGGAAACACCACGACATTTATCAGACGGATACACCACGACATTTATCAGACGGACACACCACAACCTTTATCAGACGGACACACCATGACATTTATCAGAAGGACACACCACAACCTTTATCAGACGGAAACACCACGACATTTATCAGACGGACACACTACGACCTTTATCAGACGGACACACCATGACATTTATCAGAAGGACACACCACAACCTTTATCAGACGGACACACCATGACATTTATCAGAAGGACACACCACGACCTTTATCAGACGGAAACACCACGACATTTATCTTTCGGAAACACCACGACATTTATAAAACGGAAACACCACGACATTTATCAGACGGAAACACCACGACCTTTATCAGACGGACACACCGCGACCTTTATCAGACGGAAACACCGCGGCCTTTATCAGACAGAAACACCACGACATTTATCAGACGGACACACTGCGACCTTTATCAGACGGAAACACCACGACATTTATCAGACGGACACAACGCGACTTTCATCAGACGGACACAACGCGGCTTTTATCAGACGGAACCACCACGACATTTATCAGACAGAAACACCACGACATTTATCAGACGGACACAATGCGACTTTTATCAGACGGAAACATCACGACATTTACCAGACGGAAACACCACGACCTTTATCAGACGGAAACACCACGACATTTATCAGACAGAAACACCACGACATTTATTTATTTATTTATTTAGGCACTTTTATATAGCGCTTATCATAAAGCTCTAAGTGCTTTACAATTGTTAAAACATGTAAACTAAGTAAATACAAATGAGACACTAGGATAGTAACTACTATTCTATAGAAACAATGAAAATGGCTATAAAACGAGGACACTTTGACACTTCAGGATCAACCCGAAACAGAAAATGAGGTAGGGCAAGGAGGGTGCATCACAGGTCATAGGCGGACCTAAACAGATGAGTTTTAAGGGACTTTTTGAAAATGGACGAGGTTTCACTATGACGTATATGGAAGGGGAGCTGGTTCCAGAACGTGGGCCCATGGAAGCAGAAGGAGCGTTCACCGATGGTCTTAGTTTTAGTTCTTGGGATTGAGAGGGTTCTACTGTCAATGGAAGAACGTAGTTGTCTTGTGGGGATGTAAGGAAGCAACAGTTCAGAGAGATAGACAGGAAAGTGAGGGTCAGTGAA